ATGAAAGCGTGTGATCTCAAGGATCCGTAAGGATAAGTTCTTACGTATCATATCATGAATGGATGCTATTTAGAGGATTTTTTGCCATCGAACAATTATAATTATAATTCGGAAACATTTTGTCGGAATATTAAAATATGCATCAATGAACGTGGACTGTGTTAAACAGGAAAGACGGGCGCGGTTTTTTTTAACGATACACTCCATCTCAGTACAAAGAACGCCTCCGTCGACGAGCGGTAAATAAGAAATGCGATTTATCGACGCAGTGTTATCGAATTAAATGGCGAAATTTAGTTCGGTTTCATATGAAACTTATTTATCGTATATCGGCGATACTAAGAGCGGATTTATTCGCTTATACATTAATATTACGTTATTATACTCAAACACTGCCCTTATGTACAACTAAAGAAAAAACAAAGAGGGAAAAGAAAAGTAAAAATACGATTTTGTTCCGCAACCGACACGAAGATCATGAATAGATGTTTTAGCCAGAGGTAAACGCATATACAGGCTTATTATAAATTATAAGTAAGATTCGTGAGACCAAAACGGTTATTCGCGCGACCTATTTGACATGTGATAGTTGATCGCAAGATATACACGCAGCACATCTTCTTTACTCGCGAAATCCATCTATCGTCGTCGGAGATACATGTAACTTCGTGTTCTTCTTTCTTTTGTAGCAATAATAAAAGACGATGACATTGAAAGAAAATTATAAATCGGAAATTTCCCAAATCATTGAACACCAGTTAATTAATGAAATTCGTATCAGGCTTCATAGTGACGTTTACTGAACGAGAAAGAAACCTTTGAATCGTTTGATTGCGACATGCTACCTTTGAAAATCTATCCTTCGACATCGAGCGAAGAAAACTTCTTGAGAAGGGGATGCCGATAACCTATAAAATGAGCTTCGGTCTCGTTGTCCTGTCACATGTGTTCACGTTGCACGCACATCGAGTATCAAATACGAAGACAACTTTTACGAATCGCGTTGCTTGTTTTATTCGCGATTCTAATTGACGACATGTAAGTGATTGTTATATATACAATGTGATTGATGCTTTATTGATTCTTATATATCTCGATCTTTAATTTATCTATACTATATGTTTCGTTTTTGCTAAATTTCATAGGCATCGTAAGCTTCGACTGGGTTTTTTCGTTTTCTCGATTATATTGCTACTATGTTTGATTTTGAATACTGGAGTTGAAGCTCAATTGAATTTTTCGACTGGTTGGGGAAAAAGAAGTCAAAGGATCGGAGTTGTCGAATGGGGTGTTAGAACCGAGTGTGCTACACAAGCTAAACCTTCAGTGGAACAATTGCTAAGTGTTTACCATTTGATACAGGTATGTCTCTCAATTTGTTTCTTCTCACTCTCAATAGATTGAGTGAGAAAAAAAAACAATTATTGACCAAAAGTGGTTTGTATTTAATTTACAGATAGAAGCGCGAAAAATGTTGGATTGTCGGAAATTGAATGAGTGAATTTGAAAATTATTCGATTAATATTAGAGGAAACATCGTAGATTAAACATTGGATTGTTTGAGAAAATCGTTCGAATTGTACGATTTTAACAATCATTGGCTGATTTGTTTGAAAGCATCGGATAACTTATTGGCTTCACATATCCGGTTCTAGCAAACGAAGAATTGCTTGAAATGTTTTCAATCGCACGAATGTGCCTTATAAAATTATCGATACGAATGATAATATAATAATAATAAAAGAGAAATATAATTTCTTTTTATGTCTTCTATATTATCTTCCTTTAATCATTTATTTATTAAATTCGATTTTTTATATTATATTAAATCGGTCAACATTAAATAATCAATCAAATACTATCAATCGATATGCTTTTATAGCATTTTTATCATACTTGTTAGATTTGCACCATAAACAATTTATTTATTTGTAAAAAAAATGATAACGAAATGATTATTTTTTTTTATATTAGAATCGATAGTTATCAAACTATCGAGAATATGAATTACTATTTTTTTAATTATTGTTGTGTTCTAAGTGCATTTAATTAATAAAAGTTGATTACAAAGTGACACAGATAAGTAAAAATCGATTTGTTCAGAGAAATTTATCATTATATATCAATGAATATTATTAAGATTTTATAATTTATTTTTTTATCTTAAATTCAAAAAATTATTTATAAAATTTAAATTTTATCTGTAATTTAATAATTTATTAATTTATTTGTAATTTTTTATCTATTACAAATGTTTTTAAAATTAATTACATATATGAATTATAATAATAACTTGATCAAATGAGATTTAATATATCGAACACTTTTTAAATCGATTAATTGTAATCGATTTTTTATACATTCGATATATTCAAGTGTTAGATATCGATATATTCATGAATCTAAGTACATCAGTATTATATGATTCTGAGTAGCAACACATAATATTATCATGTTTTACAACTTTCACAAGTAATTTCTAATTCTTTTTTAAATAAAAATACGATGAATACGTTATCGTAACATTTATCGAAATCAATATAAAGAATAATGTCTCTTGATTAATTTTGTAACAATTATAACTTTAAGCAGCTTGAAATAACCTATAAAACATTTCCCCGAGATAATTCAAGTTTACAGAAAAAAAGAAACAATAACCAGCGTCTTTTTATTTTACTTGAAAAAACTTCTTCAAGGATTATCAAATAAAAGCAAAAACTAACGATGTATGTGATGCAATATTCCGGCTTGTTATCAAAGCAGTTAAGTACGAATTATATTCGAAACGGAACCAGGTTAGCTTCTTTCGGACAATACAAAAATTATGGAAGATTTCTTCAGTATCGCGATAGAGTAGCATTTTGGTTGAAAGAACAACGTGTTCAAGTAACCAAAGCTTGTGCAAGACAATTTGAATTTATTGCTGCACAACGTATTAGGAGGAGTTTGCAAATATTTCATTTATATACACGAATATGGGATGAAGTAGCGCTTAAAGAATTTATAAAAAGTTGGAAACGTCGTACATTAAAAAATGCTAAACATTTTCTAACGAGTAGTATTGGTGTAACGATGTATAATTGGGATCGTGAAAGAATAACTGAAGAAGAAGTAAATAGGTAAAGTTATTTTTATATTTCTTTTTAAAGATTAAAATTTACCATAATATTTTTATTACATTGATTATTTTGTTCATTTATATTTTACGCCTTCTTATTAGTTGTACACAGGAAATTGAAGGAATTTATAAGTTAAAAGATACTACGGTTATTTGTCAAAAATGTAACCAAAGAATTCTCATAGATAATCCACAACCAGGAATAAACTATTGTACATGTTATGGTGAAAAATTTAGTGCCACTTCCAATGTAGATCGTACGTAAATATTTTCTTTTTTGATTGGTTCTTATTGTTTTTGTAATGAACATATTTATATATAACTAACATATAGCTGTTTTGATTTCAGCGGATGGTTGGAGACCATATATAGAACGACAAGATATGCTTATTTGGAGAAGAGAAGAACCAAATTTTGGAGGATTATTTTCATATAAAGTTTATGGTACATTTTCGGATGTTACGGCCGAAGATTTTCTGCATACTCAGATAGATCTTGAATATCGAAAAAAATGGGATGTAACTGCTCGAGAATTACAAGTTATAGATACTGATCCATCATTACAAAAATCTGATAACAATGGTATTGATATTATATATTGGGAAACAATATGGCCGGTATGTTATAATCCATATAACGTAACGATTATTTATACCAATTTAATTTTATTATTTATTATATATATTTATTGCAATTTTAGAGATTATTTATGAACAGAGACTATGTATATCAACGACGATGGGTTATTGATAAAGAAAAACAGTTAATCATAATTATAAGTAAAGTAACGGAACATCCAAATGTGCCTAATAAACCTGGAATATACAGGTATCCTAAGTCCTTTTGAGAATTTTTTCTCATTCTTATACAACATGAAATTTATTCATTTCATATATATAAATAAGTAAATATATATATTTATTATGTGTGTGTGTGTATGTGTGTACATGCATTTTTGCATTATATATATTGAATTAGTCAATTAGCATTTTTTTAATTTATATTGCATTATGTAAAAATACTTGAATTGTAAACTAAATGAAAAAGTAAGAAGAGAACTTTAAAAGAACTTTCTGTTAACATTATTCAAATAGAGTCACAACATATTGGTCATATATGGTGATAAGACCTTATACAGAAATTCATCAACCAGGTATTGAATTTGGCTTAACTTATTTTGATGATCCTGGTGTAAATGTTCCATCTACGATTACTTCATGGGTCACAATGACAGGTATATCTTTTATATTTTTAAAAAAATTATATAAAAAAGATTTTTTTTAATATGTATAACTTTATATTTATATATTTTAGGATTGCCAGATTTTCTACTTCGTATGAGACATGCATCGAAAAATTATCAAAATTATAAGCTTTCAAAAGATGGAAATATTTCTACTGCTAATCGTATTTTTGCAAATGATGATATTGTTTCTGAGCATAGTGTGGATGATGAACAAAGTGATAAAGAAAGTGAAGTACTGGATGCTAGAGATACACAGGAAACTGATCTTATTGAGGAAATCGAAACTTTAACATTTGCAGAAATGGAACAAAGTGATACATGTGACGTGAGTGACATGAGTGATGAAGATATAGATATAGAAGACTCAACCGACGAAGGCAGGGGTTTATTACGTTATTTTTTTCTTACAAAACTATTTGTTTGACCAATAATTGCAATATATTTGAAATAATGATATTGGTTTTGACCAATAGAAAGTCTTTAACATGATGTTGTACGAGCAGAGTGGTAATGTAATCCGTGATCACGATACAAAGATACAGGTAGAAATGGATATATTGGATCACCGGCGTTACATCAGCGATGATATCATACATGAAATATACAATTTCGATGAAATCAGCATGAAGAATTTTTAAAAATAATATTTTATTTTTATGATATTCTGTAGGATAACAAATGAGACTGATTATATTTGTAATTAGTTTCTTTTACACTATTTATTGTATCATAAAAAAGGGACACATGTGAAAAAACGTTCAATTATAAAAAATTGTCAGGTAAACAGATGGAATTTATACAAACTCTTTTTGCTACATGTCCATAACACAACCAAAATGCCATGTTGTATCTATGTACATTCAGGGTAGTGCAAATATAAATAATTGCATAGAATATGAAAAATTAATTTTCTACACGCACATATATTCAAATTTCTTATATACAATTACAATATATATATATGTCTGTGTACATGAATTGATCTATTTTGACTATTTATAAAAATTGTAAATAATCTGTGTAATGTAATATATATCTTAATATAATACATATAATAATCTATATAATGATTATAAAATATTTGCAATATTAGACATGATATTGCATAATTATTTTGCATTTATACTGTACTATATATATTTTACATTTGCAAAAACAAGTTTGAAAGCATGTAAATGTTTTATATTCTAACATTACAATATTTGTATCAATTTCATAAAAAAATATCATAGAAAGAAAGATGTATATTATATACCTGATTGTACAATAACTTTGTTCCTATTTATGTGTTGTTTCCATTTAATGATATTGTCTTTCAGATGTCTCTACCTCAATAAAAACTTTTGATATCAAAAAGAGTATGCTATGCTATATTCTCTATAGCAGAAGTCAAAAATGTATCGCCTTCTTCATCAATTTGAAAACAAATTTCTTCTGGTAATTGTTTTGGTTTAGATTTAAAACCAAAACAATCTTGATCATGACATTTTTGATAAATTGTTTTATTTTTTAAGTTTACAACCCAAAATATATTATTACTTTTATGCCATCTGTCAATATTTTCACAATACCTATTAACAAGAAAAAATAATGCTAATTCTATTACTAGTTTTATAATTTTATTATTATATATAAAAAATTATATATACCTATATCCCAAAATTTCATATATCAATATTTTTACATCTTCAAAATATTTACATAGACGTATTTTTCCAGGATATATCATACTGTGAATATATTTATCCAACATTGGATATTTTGAGCAGACATTATTTTTTTCTTCATAATTATATTGATGTACTTCTTCTTTGAAACATTTTGTATTTACAGTACCATTTTGTAAATATTCTAATAATATTAAATCTTTTTTCATAACAAAATAAGATATTAAAGAATCTAAAAATATGTTTAATTCTTTGTCATTGGTTGTATTGAATGGAATATATTGACAATCATTGGCCATTGTTAGATTTGATTGTTTTCCCCATTTGGTAGATTTATATATCCTAAAATGTCTATTTTTAGTGTAAACTGAGGTATCAATAAATAATTTTTTGCCTTTTTTCGTTTTAACAATCAATCGTTCAACTAGCGATCTATCGAAACAACTTAAAATATTATGTTCTTTTTCCTTAAACGTAATATAATGCAATATATCATTACATACTGATTTTACTAATTTACCGACATGGTAATTATCTTTAAAAGCTATATTTTTAACATTAAATATAATGTGTCTGCTGAATTTTTCGTTAGTACTTGAATCTAAATTAATTACATTATATCTATTGCAAGGTACACGCCAATGTTCAAGTAGATATGCACAAAAAATATCGATTAACATATTTGTCATAAAAGGACCATTTTTTTCCGAATTTATTTCGATCGAATATTCTAAGTCCAAATATAATCGGCAAGGATAATTTTCAGGAATTACCTGGATTAAATTTATTGCATTATTTCTACGTATAGTTTCTCTAAATACACAATGAAACATATACATTACCTCATAAGAGCATCGCCTTTCTTCTGATCGATGCTTGTAATACCACCAATATATTTCAGGATGAGCTACTACGAATTTACGACAACCATTGTCTTTCTGATAAACAAAAGTACAAAGCATATCATAATCATTACTTTCTTTCGAAGCCGTATTAAGTGCATCCACTTGTTTTTTAAATTCCATCCAAAACATAGATGGTTTTAAAATGCTCAATGGCATTTTTGAAGATTTTTTCAGTAATTCATTATTGGATTTTCGTTTTTCAATATCCTGTAATTTTGTAATCGTTTCGATGTTGTAAAATTTATTCGTATTGATAACGCTCATATTTAATTTCTTCTTGAAAACTTAAATAAACAAAATTTAACCTAAGTATCGAATAATACATTGTTTTGCCATAAAATATTCATGAACTAGGCAATTTAAGTGAGAGGAAACCACATATAATTTTTCGGAACGTGTCTATTTGTCCGTTACTGACAAAGACAAATAAATTATTATATATTTTTAAGAAAGATTTCAAAACTTTTTTAGAGATTATTAAATTCTATGATTATCAGATATTAATAAAATTAATAAAAAATTAATTTTATACAAATTTGTATTTTTTTTATATCCTTTTTCAAAATAATACAATTACAATACGACTTAAATTCATGAAAATTGTACTTAAAATATTTGAAATATATATTGAGATATTTATTATTTTAACTGTAAGAATAAGAATATGAGTATTACTTAGAATTTAAATCCATAGCATTCAAAATATCAAGAAATAAATGTTTTCTGAACAATTCGTATATCAATTCATCGATCAGAATCGAATTGATTGGAATCGAAAAGTTTTCTGTTTTTAATAAATACATCGTTTGTATGAATTCATTATTATTTATAATAATAAGTTTATAAAATTTATAAAAAAAGATATAAAATGACTTTTTTGTTAAGGATTTTTTTAAATAGAAATTTAAATTTTTATTTTTATCTTTTTATTTGCAGCATCTTCAAAGATTAATTAAATATTTAAAAATTAAAAGATTTGGATTAGTTTTCAATATATATTATATATACGTCATGCACAATGTGGGGTTAACATGCTATCAGAATAATGAATTACTATAAGATTCGACGATATGATATAAAATAAAAA